CGGAGTCCCGCTGCCCGCGCTCCCGGTGCCCTGCCCTCGCCCCTCGGGAGCCGCCCGCGGTTACATCACCCCAGTTACGTAAGAGTCGGGCCTCTGGGGTTTTTCTTTCGGAGGAGTGCGGCGGGGACTCCCAGCCTGCCCGTCTGCTCGGTACGACGGGGAACGCCCTCCTGTCCCGGCCTTGGAGAGCGCACCCTCCAGCCTCCGCCCCAGGGTGTAGGGTAAGAGAAGGCAGACCCTGGTGGGGGCCGCGCTCCAGGTCCTCGTAGTCACCTTGGACTTGAAACCCGGCTTTAGTACCCATTTGGGGAATACCTGCCTGGTGCGTATGGCTGGGATGCAAAGATGGCACCACAACGCACTCCTTAGAATTTGGTTACCTAGAAAATCATGTGGAATAAAAAGATGAGGCTTACTGATACCAAAAAGATTTCTCCATCTAATGAAGTTATCACAGGGGTCATTGTAATAACTACCATTTTTTAAGTTCCCATCTATCTCATTTCACACAATGCCACCAAGTAACTCAACGGAGGTACATCCCCCCTCTCCAGAAAGTGCAAGGAGTCATGTTGGTAATGTGTACACAATGATACAGCTGGCAAGAGGCAGGGCTAGGTCTCCCACCTGGAAGTAAGTTTGTCTCCCAAGGAGAAGTTTGCCACTAGCTCTGCAACTCCAAAGAAGGGCCCATTTATCTCCTTCAAATCTTTTTCAGCCTCCTAACCCCCAAACCCAAATAAACGTACAGTGTAAGTTTTAAAAAAAAAGTATGATTGCTGTGCCAACCTACACTCCAGATAAGTCATCCAGCCCCCTTCTTGACCCTGTTATGTAGGAATCAGGCATCCCTGTCCACATCTGACCTCTATCCCCACCTCTGGGTTCAGGATGGTGGGTCACTTGATCAAATTCTGTACTGGTTTACCCAACTCGCTCAGAGACTGAGCCACTCTAACATAAGATGTGTGAGAACCAGCTGGTTTAATGGCCTCATTACCTAGGAGAAAGGATAACATTACCTAGGAGAAAGGATAACAGTGGGCGTGCTTTTTTTACTCTAGAATACCTTTTGAAATAAATTTCCCCAGAAGAGCATCGTGAGGTTCCACTGTCTTGCTCTTCTTCCTGACAGAGTGATAAAAGGAAGTTTAAACAAGTGGCATTCTGCAAAACCACCCAGCCTGGCGTGAATTTCCATGCCTGTCCAGTTGGGCTGGGAGAATATTTTAGACACTTTACAGTCACACAGCTGTGCTTTGTACATTCTGCTTTGTGCTAATGATGGAAAAGGTGTCAGTCTGCTCTGAATCTCTCTCACTCCCTCAGGAAATAAGCTTTTGGCTCACAAGGGGCTAAGAAATTGTTCTTAAAAACAGTATCTATTGAGAGCACCAGCAGCACCTCGAAGTAAAAGGGTGGGTAGGACCCCAGCTTTCAGCCTGTCATCTGAACCCGGACATACTGCATAACCATTCAGTCTTAGTTTTCTTATTTGTAGAATGGGAATGAATATGCTCACTTCATGAGGGTGGTTGTGATATTAAACACATTTGAAAAGAGTTTAGCAAATGCTTGGTTTCATATGAGGTAATCACAACATGTTCACTTCCCTCAAGTTTTCTTCTTATTCCTTTCTCCTCCTGCACCACAGCCATGCCATGTACGTTCAACTGATGTTGCATGAGTGCAGGAAGCATGTAAAGTTTATCCTCAGATCAAGTACCCACAGAGTACCTAGTGTAGGCATTATGCACACTTCATAGGAGGTTTTAAGAAAAAACAACCCCATGTCAAAAGAGCTTCCATTCTCCCCTGGATGACACGTAATATATACAGAAAAAGAAACAAAGGTCATAATGGCATTAATGGGAAAAGGCCCTCTTTTAAATAGGAGTTAGCTGAGCTGGATTTTTGTCCTATTTCTACCACTGATTGCCAGTGTGACCCAGGGTAATAGTGATAACATTTATTGAGGGCTTAATATGTGCCAAACATCATGGATTATCTCACTTAATCATTACAATGACCTAGTAAGATTTCTCTCAATATCCCCACTTTACAGGTGAGTAAACTGAGACTTAGAGGAGTAAGTCACTTGGCTGAGATCACAGTAAAGACTCACTGGAGCCAGGATTTGAGCCAGGCAGTATGATTCTAGAATCCACGCCCTTACCCATTGTACCATCCTGTACGGGAGCAAGTCAGTCTCTCTAGACCTCATTTAAATGAAAAAGTGATCGGATTTGTGACATCTGCGCCCCTTCTAGCTCCAACTTTCTATGTCTAATAAGGGAACTATAAAGATGTAAATAAGTTAGGTCCAAGGGGCTTTTACGAGTGACATCCAGAGGGTGTAGTCGCTTCATTTCGTGTGGGTAGAAAACCTCTAAGATATTTCTTATGTGTCCCTGGTTCCAATTTGCCACTTAAAAACCAAACAAAGAAATCATCCTCTAAAGCTTCCTTCCAATTCATTTAGAGCCCCGAAGCTACTTTTGACCAAATCAGAAGGGGAAGCAGAAGGTGTGGACTAAAATCCATGGCTTTCTGCACAACAGATATACATGATGGGAAGTCTGCATACACACACACACACACACACACACACCCACCCAGTGTTTATATCGTCTTCTACCGAAGCTCAGTACCAGTTTCTCCAGCCCAGTTGTCATGGCAACACCAACTGCCAATGAGATCATGGAAGACAAGGTTATAATGGCAGTGGTGCCTTAATATTTTACCTGGCAAAGCCACTTAGATAATAAGGTGAATAACCATAAATCATAAATCTATAGGAAGCCCAGGCACTGCTCATTGTATGCGTTTAGTGTGCACTTAGGGGTAGGGAAGAGGAATGCGAGCGAAGGGAAAGGAAGAAAAAGGAAGGGAGTATGAGGCAGCGGTTGGGGAGGAAGATTCCTGACTCTGATCCCTGTTATTCTTTAGTGTAGATCATGCACGGGTCCTGAGCTTGTCTGTGCACAGATTAAGGAACCAGTCTCTTCCCTTCTGTAACAAGAAGCGGGTGGGGGCTCCCAGCCTTAATCACAAAAGGCTTAGAAGAAACCCGAAGTGACTGTTTTGGGATCTACACTAACAGAGGAGAGAAGCAGCCCAGAGGAAATATACATGGCCGACAACCCACCCAGAGTGTCTTGAGGCCCACCAGCTCTTACAGACTGGCTTGCCCTAGGGCTGTCTGTTGTCCATCTGAACTAGTTCCCTAACGAGGAAATCCATTTGATTTTAGGGTCTCCTTTCTTTCACAGGAAACTAACCACAGTGGGGATCTCTGTTAAGAGCTTTTGGCATTGGAGAGCAGGGGTGAGAGACTCAGTTTACATTGAATATCCTCTTGTACCTTTGAATTTTGTACTGTGTGCATGAAGTACTTACTCAAATAAAAACACATGCAAAGGTCCACCTTTTTTCCCTAGCCTTGTCCACCTTCCAAGAGGAAGACACGGTGGCAGGAAAGGGAGGGCAGTCGTGAATCCTGGGTAGGTCAGCCTCCACTTAACCAAGTGGATGAAGGAAACGATTGCCCACAAACGGGGCTTGTTTTGGTCTGAAACTCTCATGCAGTCTGTTTTTAGGGCTCTCGGTTCAGGCAAGCAGATTCTGTTCTGAGTGCAAAGGCAGCAGTGGGACTCAGGGGCAGGAGTCGTTTGTCTGAGGGGTTGTGTGGCTCACTCTCACCCACTTCCCCACACTGCCTGGTTCCCACTGCTGTCTCGGAGAAGGGCCACCAGTGAGGCAGGAGAGGGTGGCAGACCTAGAGTGGTAGGAACTGGGATTGAGTCGTAAGACCCGCATTCAGCTTTGACACCTCTTCAGAGGAGACGTTTCACCTCGGTTTCCCCTCCACATGGCAGTGTGACTGTCCAGTTCATGAAGTATAGTAGAGAGGATGAATTAAATAAACTTTTCTCTTGTTTAACAAATACTTACATTCCACGTGCCTATGTGCCAAGCAATGTTCTAAGTTTATTTCAAATGAGAAGACTGGGGCTCAGAGAATTTCGAAGGAATGTCCAAGAGCACACTAAAATCTAGAAAGTAGCAGAGCCAGGATTCCAACCTGACAGTCTGGGTCCAGACTCTACATGTTTAACCCCCTTTCTGACAGGACGGGACACTTCTCATGGTGACTTCTCAGTTCTTCTTTTAGTGGTTTCTGAGGAGAGGGAAACTTCTGTTATCTCCTCTCCCTTTTTGTTTGATGGGTTCCTGTGTTCAACTGGGTGGCTAGTAGTTTCCACCAGCATTCCCCCACCCCCAAGCCAGAGGCACTGGGGGACTGAAGGTGGGGCCCTAAGACCTTCAGTCACCTGAAAGTGAGACTGGCTTTTGAGCCTGTGAGCATGTGTGGCCCTCCGTATGCATGGAGTAACCAGGGACTCTGCACTTGCCAGCTATTGCATGCTGGGAGAGTCCATCTGGGGAGGCTCGAAAGGACTGGGGCACATATCATTTTACTTTTATTTTTAATTGTGGTGAAGTACACATAAATTTACCATCTTAGGCATGTTTAAGTACACAGTTCAGTGGTACGAAGTACCACTTAATCACATTGTTTTGAAACCATCGCCACTGTCTACCTCCAGAACTCTTTTCATCTTACAAAACAGAAACTGTGCCTATTAAACATTAACTCCCCATTACTCCCTCCTCCCCACAGCCCCTGGTGACTGCCATTCTACTTTCTGTCTCTACAAATTTGACTACTCTAGATACCTTCTATTAGTGGAATCATCCAGTATTTGTCCTTTTGTGACTGATTTATTTCACTCAGCATAATGTCTTCACGCTTCATCCATGTTGTAGCACATGTCGGAATTTTATTCCTTCCTAAGGCTGCGTAATATTCCACTGTACCACATTTTGTTTATCCATCCATCTACGGAGAGACACTTGGGTTGCTTCCACCTCTTGACTATTGTGAATAATGCTGCCGTGAACACTGGTGTACAAATATATTTCTGAGATCCTACTTTCAGTTCTTTTGGGTATATAACCAGAAGTGGAATTGTTGGATCGTATGGCTTCTATTTTTAGTTTTTTAGGACCTTCCATATTGTTTTCCACACCAGTTGCACCATTTTACGTCCCCACCAACGGTACACAAGAGTTCTAATTTCTCTACATCCTCGCCAACACTTGACATTTTCTTGGGGGATGGGGTTTGTTTGTTTATTTTATAGTTGCCATTCTAATGGGTGTGAGATGGTATCTCACTGTGGTACATTATTGTTTTTTGTTATGTATCTAAAAAAATACTTTTTCTAATTTCTGCGATATCCAGGTGCACACTCCATTTTGTATTCATTGCCTAATATAGCTTAATTATACACACTTTCACACACATGAGATATTGAAAGGATAGTTTGCTTCTTCGGTATGAGGTTTTGTGGATATGCATAAACATAAAACCCAATCAACCTCTTTTCTCTCACGAGCTTTAATCCATTGTTGGGGACAGCTGAGTTTCCCTCAGGTGAGTCACATGGCCTTAATCTAAAAGGTTCTGCAATTAATTTCACAGGGAGTATTGGTTCAGCCCCGCTCATTTCGTTTGGCCCAGGAAGGGGGAAATGACAACCATTTTCTCCAACTGAGCTCTCAGTTGTTCACTTGGCAAAATAAAATTTCAAATGACTGGTTTTTCCATTTTGATTCACAGAAATGGTAGACCATGCCAGTTACAGAGACTGTGCCTATTTAAATGAGTCTTATGAACATTGGTCACTTTTGAGGCAGATCTCTTTGCACTGAAAATGGAAAGACGTGAAATAGTCCGGTTTTTACTGCTTTCAAATGCCATCTCTATAGACTCAGGCAAAGAATGGAACAAGGTGATTTCTAGCAAATGCCCAATGTAGCAAATAAAATTAAATGACTTAGATGTACAGTTTATCTTTGCTGCAGTCTTGTACAATCGATTATCCCTCCCAGCCCTATGGATTTATTTTTTGAGTTTTCATAACATCTAGAAAGTTCAGGTGTTACCATATTCATGTCTCCAGAACACTAACTTATGACAAATTTATGAAGGATGGATGGTTGTCTTTTTGGGTCAGTCCTGGCTGGGCACTCTCGGTCTGTAGGTGTATGCAGCCAACTTAACATCAGTGTAGAAAGTATGCACTCCAGGGCCCTGCCAGTGATTACAATCATGAGCTTCTTATGCTCACTTTCTATCAAAAGTCCAGATGAGGGAAACGATGCCAACAGGGAATCGCCCAAAAGGCATGCAGCGCATCATTTCCTAGATAGCCTGGATGTCATCTCTGAATTAGGCCAGACCATTTAGAGAACAGATTCATGGACCACTTAGGTTGGCCCTGAACTTTTTCCCTAAAATACGCCTTGTCATAAGCATCTCACCATACATAGAGGGGGCTTTAATAAATGATCATTCGAATCTGGCTAATACATTCGTATAGAATGCTGACGATGCACCATTGAATCACTCAGTGTACCCTCTATGAAATATGCACAGGAACTTCAATTCAGACTTAGCCTGTATTTCTTCTGAGGGAAGTGTATTTTTTACTCCATGGAAAATGTGCAACTCATGGCTGATTATCATATTTATCTTACTGCTTTGGTGACAAGGAAACGCAAAGCCACAAATTTAGTCCAGGTTTTAGCAATTATTTAGGATGTATGACTGATACTCTTCATTGCAATAGCGGCAGGCAGGGTGGGTGGGGGACACGTGAGACAGAGCATGCTTCTTCACACTGAAGCAGGGAAAAAATAAAAGAAGCTCTGCTCC